TAATTCTCTGAGATCTTTTTTGCAAGTAAGTAAGTAAGTAAGTAATTAAATAAGTAAAAGTGTAGAACATTTTTACAGACCAAGGTCACCCAAAGCGCTTTACAGTGTTCAGAGTTCAGATATGGTTTCATTCACTCCACACGGTTTACATTACAGTCATACCTATTGTGCATGTTTTTAGTGGTAGGGGAAACCGGTGCACCCGGAGGAAACCTAGGCGGATACGGGAAGAACATGCAAACTCCACTCAGAAAAGCCCTGTTCCAACCGGGATTCGAACCCAGGACCTTCTTCAAGTATGCAAAATATACCATGTTTTCCGATAAGATTAAGACGTAATAGTGAGAAACAAATCTGAGACTTTATGTTGGAGCAAACACAATTATATAAAACAAAAAAGACCCCAGCTTTACTGCGCAAGCCAATTTCTTTAGCATCAAAATTGCGCAGAAGGAATTATAAGGTAAAACGATTGATTTTTTTCAGCATAGAACGAACAACCATATTTCTATCACAGTTCTAGGGCAGCTGTGGCTACACACTTCTAGCACAAGTCATTCATCAATGCAAAATAAAATACTTTGGGTTTTCTCTTTTACTAAGCTAACCTACCCCTTTAGCTCCATATCCAAACACTACAAAATACAACACAATAACAACTGCTCATACGCACCCATTCACCTCTACAACTCCATCCATCACACTATACCTGACTTACAAATCCCTTTACAACCCGAGGCCACTTAATGATCAACTAGAATCAACACAGCGCGGGGCGTGGGCTTATGTCTTCAGAAAGGCAGGCGAGCGAGCGGCGTACCCAGGGAGAACACGGTGTCCCGGGGCCGTGTTTGATTACCCATCCCTCTACAGCGTAAAAGTCCTATACCAACATAACAGAACAAGCGCTTACCTGTTTCAGATTCAGCAGCAATGGTGAGGTCAGCAGGGGACGAACATGGAAAGAAAAAGAGGGAGAGAGAGAAAAAAAGACATATTTAGTCACAAAATTGATTGTGATGTTCAAATATGAGGTATTGTGTGATCATTGTTGATGTTTCATATTTATCTAGACAGAAAAGTGGAATTTGGGTGCAGGGAGTACTAACAAAGGGAGATAATGACTAAAAGGGATTGACAGATGTATTGATTTTTATACATGTTAATAACTTGGAAAACATCAACCTAGATTTCAATGTGTAAAATGTGCAATAACTATTTCCCTCAATTTCTTATATATGATAATTCAACAGGTCAAACTTCCCAGTAACATTCAATTAAATTCAAAGTATTCTTGTATAGCCCTAAATTACCAACTGTGGTTATCTCGAAGGACTCTTCAAAACCGTTGAATTTGCCAACACAAATTAGAGAATCAGACCGTTCAAGCAACAGAGATGCAATGATAAAAAACCCATTGGTCCATAAGGGGTGGATGACCAATGTCTATAAATACTGATAAATGTCAAATGTCCTAGCAGCCACCACCACAAGGCTGCAAAAAAAGAAAGAAAACATTCCATGGATAAATCAAAAATCAAATGTTTTTGAGGAGGGAACAATGTTGTAACATACTAAAGATTTCCATAACAGGCCTCCTTCAAACCCCTCATACGCAGTGCCCATTCCCACTAGTGACACCTCCAAAACCTGTACTCCATGACTTCCTCTGGGCTCATATATTGGACAAAAACAGATGTGGACAGCGCACTGGACTTGTCACCGCGGGAGAGAGGTCCGAGACAGTGCGCCAAAAGCTGCTGCAGCGCGACACCTCATTACGAATGAATGAGATGGTGCGCGGAGAGCAACAGTGGAGAAAACAAGCCCCAAAGCTAGCGTCTCCAGGGAGCGCGGATGGACAGGTAGAGCTGCACTTGAGAGAGGCTTTTCTTTCATGTATCTCCAGCTCTGAGGCATCACCGAGCCGAGTGTGTGAGGTATGGCCAATGCAGAGTGGGCCGACTGCAGAGGACACACCACAAACAAGGTATTGTGAGGTAAGGCTGCGAAATATGGACATAAAAATATGTGCGAGTGTGAGCTTTTCATACGTTTTCTTGTCCCTTAAATATAGCCTGTGGTATAGTTATGGTGATATTGCTGCTCTTCGAGATCCAAACAATTGCATCTGTACTGAAATGAGCCGGACAAAATATGGATGTCTCCATATTTTGTTCCAGACTTCCTGGCAAACAGCATATGTGAATGAGATATGGTGTGATTCAGGTCAATGCGGAATCGTTTACTTAAATTCAACCGGAATTGAGCTGTGAAAGTTGCTTAGTTCATAAATCAGTTGTAATTATAGTCGTCAGGACATTTCAAAAGTGCAATTTGTTTAAGTAATGAATATATACAGTGGGGCAAAAAAGTATTTAGTCAGCCACCGATTTTGCAAGTTCTCTCTCTTAAAATAATGACAGAGGTCTGTAATTTTCATCATAGGTACACTTCAACTGTGAGAGACAGAATGAGAAAAAAATATCCAGGAATTCACATTGTAGGATTTTTAAAGAATTTATTTGTAAATTATGGTGGAAAAAATAAGTATTTGGTCAAAAACTAAAATTCAACTCAATACTTGGTAATATAACTTTTGTTGGCAATAACAGAGGTCAAACGATTACTATACTGTAGGTCTTTACCAGGTTTGCACACACAGTAGCTGGTATTTTGGCTGACTAAATACTTTTTTGCCCCACTGTATATAGTGTAGGCTAAAGTCTGTTTGGTTAAAGTCACTAATTTTGCCAAAGCTGTATTGTATCATGTTATACAATACAATATATGAAAATAGAAATACCTGCTTACACAACAACACATTGAATAAAGTATAAATCACCTATTTTCTAGTATCAGTAATTAACATTTATATGAATCATAATGTGTTTTATATTAATCATGGCGTGATGAGGTAGATAACCTCATCCTCAACCTCAACCTGACCTCAAAAGACAGTAACCGACTCGACGGGCTGATCAGGAAATGTGTCTCTGTGACGGGGAGAAGTGTGGACTCTGTGGGAGCTGTGATGGAGAGAAGGATGAGGGCTCTTACGCAGGGCATCCTGGGTAACTGCTATGACCTATGACCGCTCAGAGGAGTAATCGAAGCAACAGGCTCCTATCACTGCGCTGCCGAATGGAACGTTTCAAGAGATCCTTTGTTCCTTCGGCTGTCAGACTGTACAACAAACCTTGATGAGTCTTCTGCTGCTGGACACCTGAATTTCTCCAACGCGGGATCAATAAAGTGTCTATCTATAATTCCTTTCTGATTTGTGCTCAAATGGTTGTAAATGAGGCTCCGGGTAGTGAAAAGTCCATTTCTGTGTATGAAACCAGACAAGATGGTCATTAGGTTTAACTGTCATCACCATGGGTGACAAGCAAGCGGCACCCAGAGATAACCTGTTTTAGGATCATGTTTGAGAAGCATATGCAGAAGTCCTCCTTGGTCTTCCTTAAGCCTGGTTCACACGGCAGGATAATTAGGCTGATTTAAGACCTGATTTACCCCTAACAAACTTTCTTAAGAACGCTCCGATTTTCGTAAAATGTGTGGTGTGTTAAGACTGCACTCGTCGCTCAGAAGGACTTCGGGACTGCTCCGATCTCAAATTGGGTATATCCAACATGTTGGATTGTTTTGGCCCGATTTCTCTTCATGTGTGGTGTCCTCCAGGGACAGACAAACACGCTGCCAGTGGACTGCGGCGTGTAGCCAGTCAGAAGACGAGGTGATGATGCGGCGAGGAAACACCGTAAAAAAATCATAACACTCAGTGGCATAAATATATATAGCCCATGCTCGCGTTGTCTCCATTTCTTTGACCATCGCCTTTTCCTTTCATAACACTTTTTCTCTGTTAAAAACAAACGATTGCCACTGCATCCTCTTCGTCCTCCATGATTATTTACTCTGAAGTCACGCTTGATCTTGAGAGATTCTGTGAGATTTCCGTCTGACCTGGAAATGCTCGGAGGGGAAATCGGTTCATGTGTGGTTTGCGTGATTTTGCCGTGTGGCTGCGCACCACACACTGTACGACCAAAGTGGTTAGACCCATGATTTTTTTTATCTCTGTGTGTGGGGTCTCTCAGGTTAGGAAAATCAGCCTACAATTTTAAAATAGTCTCGTGTGAACCAGGCTTTAGAAAGAGGAAGGATCGTATACCACAGACGAAACTAGTCTAGTGGCTTCTACATCAGCCTCTTGACCCCTGGTAAATTCTGTACCAACGATGCAGCCGTCAAGTGATGCCCATGGAGCATATCTTCATGACTTGTTCGGTTGTTTAATTAAAAAAACAATTATTCATCAATTTCTAAATAAGTTGACAACTATTTCAAATGATTAACTAGCTTCCATTGAAGTTTAAAAGTTGTAGAATAGGTCATTTCTTCTGCCTTTTTGGTTGCAATTAATTATAGTATATCATTTGTTTGAACTGTAACTTTGCTGATGTGATGACCAAAATAAAACCAATCAATCAGTCAATCATTGAATTGATTAACTTGTTACAACCCTAACCGACTGCGAGGTAATGACATAATGACCTATCGCAATATGCCAGTATAACAAAAATCTCTATGGGCGGCACGGTGGCTGAGTGGATAGCACTCTCGCCTCTCAGCAAGAAGGTCCTGGGTTCGAATCCCGGTCGGACCAGGGCCTTTCTGAGTGGAGTTTGCATGTTCTCCCCGTGTCTGCGTAGGTTTCCTCCGGGTACTCCGGTTTCCCCTACCACTAAAAATATGTCCAATAGTTCTGGCATGCGCTTCCTGTACTGGCGACCCCGCTCCCATCTCTGTGTGGAGTGAGAGACAAATGCCCAAAAATTAACAATTGTAAACCTCTTTGAGACTCAGATCTGCAGTGAAAAGGCGGTATATAAAATAAAAACTTACTTACTTACTTACCGTTGGCCAAATTCTTTTGCATACCGCTTATACCGTTTATATCGCCCAGCCCTACTCCAATCCCAACAACCTTTTCACCCCCAGAACACTGCATGAACCCGAAGTCTGTCCTCTCTGTGCCCCTTCCCCTCACGCTTCTCAAACATGACACAAAACTGGCCCAAATCTAGCAGCGAGGAGACGCCAGGCAGGCTCGGTCGCGTCGACATGTGCCAGGGCTCGAAATAGTCCGGATGGCAGCTGTCCTCTTCCATCCCGTCTCCACCACAACAACAGGTAACAACGCACACAGAGCGTCTGCTGAGGGCCAGACCGACGTGTCAGGGGGATGTTCTCTTTGGTGCCGTTACGAGGCATCCGTCACTTCGCCTACGGAGGAGTTTGACGAGGGGAGACGGGAGAAGAGCGGGGCAGAGCGTGGGTCTACATAAGGATTAACTGGTGCATTGGCATTCAGGAGGCACGCAAACACGGGGGGGGGATTAGGTGAGGAGTGGTGTCACCGCGTGTTTGTGATTAGGCTGAATGGGTGAGAGGAATGTAATGGATTAGAAATGAATTGAAGGAGATGTGTTCTGGAGAAAACATGGCTTCAAAACATTGTTATGTTCGTCAAAAACAGACTTGAAGTTGGTTTGTTGCTCCATTCGCCCCCATATCAAGAGAACCTTCTGGTACAAATCAGCACAAATTGGGCGGCACGGTGGCGCAGAAGTTAGGGATTGTGTTTCACAGCAAGAAGGTCCTGGGTTCGATTCCACCTCCAGGCCTTTCTGTGTGGAGTTTGCATGTTCTCCCTGTGTCTGCGTTGGTCACACTAAAGTGTGTTCGGTGTTATGCTTCAGTATCACGGGGTGGAGAGAATGGAACAATATCTGAAGACTGTAAAGCATTTGGGTGCATACTTACTTACTTAGCAATTAATCTAGTACTTATACTCGTTCTGAAAAACACATTTATTATGCAATATCCCTGTCAAATATATACATATATCACAATATGGCCGATACAATTTTGAGTAATAAGATACAGATAGAACACAACTTAATCACAGTCTCAAGAAAGTATTAGTTATATCACTTTTAAATTGATTTACATTACAAGTTAGTAATATATAATAATAATAATAATAATAATAATAACACATTTTATTTAAAAGCGCCTTTCAAAACACCCAAGGACACTGTACAGGACATAATCAAAACATTAAAAGCAGGATCAACAGAATAAAACAGTAGTGCAATATATAATGTGTGTGTGTGTGTGTGTGTGTGTTAGGTGGATGTGTGTGTGTGTGTTAGGTGGGGTAGGACAGTCTGAACAGATGGGTTTTGAGTCTGGATTTGTGGAAGAGAGTCAATGGTACGGAGGTCAGGGAGGAGAGAGTTCCACATATGGTCTTTTACGTTTAATTAGAAGATGATGCATCTTTGCAATATTTACATTCAAGAAGACATTTGAAAACTTGGTTATAAACGAGTTAAATTTGATATGAATCCTCAGAGGGAAAACATAATACTGAACGTTTTGAAAAAAGGAAGTGGCAAAGACTCATACAACATTCACAGCCTCGTAAGCATATTATGATGTTGTTTCACTGTTTCACTTGCTTTTTTATTAAGCTAAACTTAGAGATCCTATACTTTATTATGCTAAAGTTAAAGGTTTTATTTGATTTCAGTATAGAGTTAATGTTCACTTTTCTTGTGCTTGTGCTTCTCATTCCTACTTTTCTGTAACTCGTGATGCAATACTGAAATTTCCCCCACTGTGGGACCAATAAAGAATCTCCTAATCTGTTTGTCACTTTCTGCTTTTGTCTTTTTCTGTTTGTGTCTTGATATGTCCCCTTTGAACAAGTAATATGCAGTGGGCACAGGCATTTTGGCACTTTATTTATCTCACACTGGAGAAATATGTGTGTCACATGTGGCAAACATGTTAAAGGCAAAAAATAGTCTGCTCAGGATATATTATGTACAATAAAAAGCAATTAATGAAACAGTGGCAATAGTAGTGCAGGTTTTTAAGTCCTAGTGCATTAGTGACCTAAAGTTACTTATTGTACAGTCTGACAGCGGTGGGGATAAATTTAAACTGGAAAAGTCACGTCAAAATCACTCACTCTTTTATGGTGTAGTTTTAGGCTCTAATGATCCATGGATGTCGCCGATTAGAACCGAGAACCAGACAGAAGCGCAAACACATCTTTAGAGCTGGAGAGGCTATACATTTCTTGCTTCATAAATAACGGCTTTTGTTTATCCGCTTGTGTCCGGTAGGCCGCGTTCAATCAGAGCGGCAAACAATCCCAAGTGTTTTTCCCCCCCTTCTCTCTCTTTCTCTATGCGGCAGCTGGAGTGTGTACTAGTCAAGGGCCCATTGTCACGGAGCCGATGCTGCTGTTCACTTCAGAGGGGCCCTTCAGAGAGACATCGGGCTGACCGCTGACCCCCTCGCACACATCCCGGCCCTGACCTCTGTGCGCCATTTCAAATTCCATCAGTAGGAAGTGGGCATAGGCTGTGGGCTTCTGGGGAGCTTGTGTTATTGCAAAAGTGTATTATTGATGATGAGTGAACCAGTTGTCCAGCGCTGATACTGGTTTTCACTGAAAAAAAGTGATGAAATATAAGCTATAAAATGGCTCAAGTTCTGCAAATGTATCTTAAATGAAGAATATATCGACTGCCTTAAAACAAGAAGTCTCCTATGGAATGAGAAAATAAGCAACAATTCTGTAAAAAAGACTAAATGGCTTTGTCTCATAGGAAAATCTAGTTTTAGGACAGTCACAATGTACTCAAGATAAAAAAATATTATATATTAAATATTGCCTTATAATTTAGTGTTATTTCCTTATATATAATAGCTGGACTGGGTTAAAAGTGGATAAATAAAACCAATTCAAGAGTGGTATGTGATTTAGATACACAACAATATGAAGCATCAAATACTCAAGTCATATGGAGACTGTGGCCTGTACCCTCTGTCTGTAAACTCAATGGAATATATACACCAAATTTGAAAAATCGCTTTGCTTGAGCTTGGTTTGTTAACTGTGCCAAACAAACAGGGTTGAGTAAAGTATAAGTACATCTTTCATACATGTAATAAGTAATTATACTTAATTACAGTCTACACAAGGTATAGCTACATTACTTTTGGATAACTATAGTTGTAATACAATTTAGATTAGTAATGGATCGGCTTTTAGGTTTTATTAGAAGAGGTTTAAACGTCACAAACACCTCCACTCACTGCTGCTGCTTTCTGAGGAGTTTAGCATCAGTCTGTCGTAGGGCTGGGCGATTAATCGATTTTAATCATTAATTCGAGTTTTACGTTTAGGGCGATTTCTTTTTTAAAAAATTCGATTTTTATTTTCTCCAGCGCAGAACTACAGCGCTAACGCGCTAACCGCGGGTCTTTGGTGTTGAGCAGTCATTTTGAAGCTAACCTAATGCTAACAGTCTCCCTCTGGCCTGAGGCTCGCTCTCACAGTTGGTGCTGTTGCAATAACACTTCAAACGTTCAAGAATCAGACTTTATTTAAATCGCCAGAACACACACACACACGCACGCAGGCTCCGGTCGTTATGTTCGTACGCCACTTCTTTCACGCTCTCTCACGCTCGTTATTCCAAAGCGCACTCCCGTGTCCGTGGCGCGCACACACCCGTGTCCCACTGAGCCGCTGCACTTTGGGTAAAGACACGTCTCACACATTGCTCTCATTGCTCTGATACAAACAACGTGTTCCCCGCTGTCTGCAGTAGCTGCTACAGTAGCTGCTACAGTAGCTGTTAGCTACAGTAGCTGTTAGCTACAGTAGCTGTTAGCTACAGTAGCTGTTAGCTACAGTAGCTGCTACAGTAGCTGTTAGCTACAGTAGCTGTTAGCTACAGTAGCTGCTACAGTAGCTGTTAGCTACAGTAGCTGCTACAGTAGCTGTTAGCTACAGCATCAGAATGTAAACAGGAAGCTCGCACAATGCGGGAGTCACTGAAGTTAGTATTAGCGCCACCAGCTGGACCGAGCGTTGTACTACAGCACAGTTACTCAGGCACAGTTGAAAGAACAAGCATGAAAACCCGAGGAGGCTTTTGGAAAAGACTGTTACAACATTTCTATTTTGAGTAATCAGTTTTAAAAATGTGATATTTCATGTAAATAATGCATGTGTTTAATAGGATTTATATATTTGCGATGGGCCTTGTTTGTGTGATTTAAGTTATTTTGAAGGTGCATAGTGTCATTGTAAGTGAAGTTATTATAAAACTGTTAAGCTACATTTTCACTGTTTACAATGGCAGAGCCATCTCGTTTACAAGCATGTTTTAAGGCTTAATTCCTGTTACACTTATGCTCCATGGGGATTTAGATTAAACTGCATAAAGGAAAATCTATTTCTTTGTCAGTTGTAGTTTGTTTTTAAATAGAAAAAAATAAATCGATTAAAATCGAAAATCGGATTTGGTGTGAAAAAATCTGAGATTTTTTTTTTTTGCCATATCGCCCAGCCCTAGTCTGTCACTTGTTTTGCACTCTCCATCACAGACGTGTTTGCAAGTTTAAACTGTCTTTTTTGCAAGTAACAAAGTAATGCATTACACACTACTCCAATTATCCAATTATATTCACTAATTATTTGTGTTTTAACAAAATATTCGGTAAAACCAATACAACAAAAGTTTAGGGCTGAAGCTGTGGATAACACACGGACATTGTATTCACCCATTATATGTTGTGACAGTAGCATTTTCTGAAGGGGATAAACTATGGTGCACTAAGGTGCATGCTCCTTTTGACAGCTCTTTGGAAGAACACACGGTTTTTCACATCCTTGTCTGGAAAAGTTGTTCTGAAGCTGTGCCCACATCTGGAAATGCATGCATGTGAAATCCATAATGCGCCGGAGCGTTTGTGACCGATTAGATACTGCATAACTTCCTCCTTCTGCAGTTTGAAAATTAGGTAATGGCGCTAGAATACTGCCGTGTTTACATGCCAGAAGGGTTTCATTTCTTGTGTAAATTTTTAAAACAACTAGTGAGTTATTCATCAGCCAGAAGATGTTTTGCTTCCTTCTCATTTTGCACATTGATCATAAACTCTGCACATTCAGGCTCCACAATGTAAATCCAAAAATGTAAGATGGTTCTACAGAGAGATGCCATCATTTCATAATTTAAATGATAAAAAAACACCGTCATGTAAGCAATTAAGAGATGGGACTAAAGGTTTCAAATACTGAATGCCCAAATTAAAAGTTAGACTATTTGACAAAAAGAATTTGGGATGCACCGATACCAAAACTTGTATTTGGGCAATACCATAGGCTTGTACTAGTCTCA